TCTCTTAATTTTGTGAGTCATACTTACTAATTTTCAAATGACAAAACAAAATTATGTTTCTGTAACTTACCTGTCTTGTTTATAATGTATGTATGTGGATTCAGTTTGTGAATATTTTGTTTACTGTTTTACATCTGTATTCATTTAATTCTTGTCAGGATTGGTATTAAGGACTTTTTGTCTTCATAAAAAATGTTGAAAAAATGTTTCCTCTGTTTTTGCTCTTGGGGGAAGGGGTTGTATGATATTTTTTTTTTTCTTGAGTATTTGGTAGAATTTACCAGTGAAGCCTTTATGTGTTGAAAAATTTTTGGAAAGAAAGTTTTAAATTTCAATGGCCAGATTTTAAAAATAAATATAATTCTATTCATATTGTGTATTCAGATTTTTCTTTTGTGTCAGCTTCGGTAAATTGTACTTTTCAAGTTATCTAAATTGCTCAATTTATTGTCAATGACTTGTTCATTATATTTTTTTATTACCGTATTCATGTGTGTAGAGTTCATCAGTATACATCCTTTTATCTGATATTGGAAATTTGTTCTCTCTTGTTTGTTCTTTCTCATTTGAATAGGGGCTTATTAATTTTATAAGCTTTCCTACAACCTAACTTTTGGCTTTGTTGGTTCTTTCTACGATCATATTAATTTCTTTGTTATTTCTTTTCTTCTTTCTTTGGGTTTAATTTGTTTCTGTATTTCTAATTTCTTGAGGTAAATGCTTAAATAACTTATTTGCAGCTATTATTTTCCCATATGTACTTTTAGAGGTAAAAATTTCTTTTAAATATGGTTTTAGCAGGGTACCAAAATTTTTGATATGTTGCATTGCTTTAGCCAGATCAATATATTTTCTAATATCCACTTTTTTTTACACATTATTTAGAATTTGTATTTCTGAATTTCTAGACATAAGGGAATTTTCTGGTCACAATTGTAATGATTGATTTTTAACTTAATTTTATTGTCAGAAAAAATATTTTGTATGTTTTTAGCCCTTTGAAATTTGTTTATATTGCTTTATGGACACACATATCATCATTTAAAAAATAAATGTTCCATGTTTACTTAAAAAATGACTTTTTGGTTAAAATTTTGAATTCTGCATATATCAATTAGGTCATGTTTATTAAGTGTGCTGTTCAAATCTTATACATACTTAATTATTTTCTTTTTCTATCTTTCAAAGAGGTATATTTTAAATCTTCACCAAAATTATACATTTTTAGTACCTCTTTTTTTNTTTTTTTCTTCCAGGTTTTGCTTTATAAATTTGAGAATGTATTATTATATGTATGAACATCTAGAATATTGCATCTTACTTGTGATGAATTTCTTCCTTTATCTCTAATAATGCTTCCTTGCCTGTAAAGTGAGTTTGTCAGAAATTGGTATAGCTATATTAGTTTCCTTTTGGTTAGTGTTTTCAAAATATAGCTTTTTAATCATTTTTCATTTCTAAATCTTTTGTCTACTTACATGTATGGTATGTCTCTCATGAGCATATTACGGTAACCTGTTTTCTACTCAGTTTGACAATCTCTGTATTTTAATTATTTAGTTGATTTGACTTTAATATAATTACTGATATATTTTGGCTTAAATCTATCATTTAGCATCTTACTGTTGCTTTCCTCTTTTCCTATACCTTTTCTCCCTCCCCTGCTTTCTGCCTACTTTTGGATTAAGTCTTTTTAATTGTGCCGTTTTCCCACTTATCCACTTATTGATTTCGCGGCCTTTTACTATTCTTTGTTGATCATTCTAAAAAATTTTACATGACTCTAAACTTATTAAGTTCTCATATAAATTAATATTTTGTCACTTTCTTTTAGTGCAATAATCTTAGAATACTTTAATTCTATTTATCTTTCTCTCGACTATGTGCTATATTGTTATGTATTTAAATGTATGTTATACATACATTTATCATTCTAAATAAATTTTAAACACAGTAAATACTTATTTCGATTTTTTTACTTTTTTATGTTGCTCAACTTTATAGAGTTGGGGACTAGCAATATCAAATGATCTTAATAAAATCAAGAATTGCAATTATTTAAATCTGAATTTCAATCACTTCTGAGGGCTGCTCTGTTTTTTCTCTTTATGACTTACTTTTACTCCTATGGTATAGGGCTTTAGAATGTAAAGTTTCATGGTGTCAACCTTAAGCCTGTGGTGTTTACCAGGACCTCTCTTCCTATGCAGGCCTCAAATTCTTATTATTTTTTTTCTTAGACCTATGACTCTGTAAAATGTTCTGCTCCGCTTCTCAGCCTCTTGACCAAGACTTTTTGAATTGTGAGATCACTGCAGGTGAAGGGAATACGGTTACAAATGCTGAGCACCACCTCTCTGGACTTCTTTTCCTTCCTGGATCATGGCCCCCTAATTTTTCATGGTCTTGATAGCTCTCAGATGTTTTCAAATAGATAGTATTTTTCAA